TTATTTAGTTAAAGTCCCAGAAAGCTTGGAGAATCACAAGAAAGCTTTGCAAGAATACACGGGAAGCATTTTGCAAACTAAATTTAAAGACGAGATATCTTGCTCTTTAATATCAAAGTCCAGATTTCAGTTTCATCCACAAACATCCTTGGCGTCGTGGCCACGACTGAGAAATGCTTCTGAGACTTGAAAGCTCCACTTTGTCAACTTTTGCCTTTTCCAGAAGAGTGCGACACCCTGGACTGGACGTGAATCTGAATCCCAGTGTGGGCCTTAAAGAAATGAGGGTGGAGATTCTTAGAAAAGGGAATAATCTCAGTCAGGAACTGGGAATTAACATGCCAACCAATAAAGAGAAAGGGCAGGTCAGGGCTGAAGAGCATTTTAGAGCGTGGTATAAAAGGAAACGGCTGATTTCAATGGTGACATTTTAACCAGACTTTGACCAGGTTACATGGATGCCGTTACTGGTGGACAAATCAATGTCTGATAAGTAATATTTACTTTTTTTTTAGTACTGGGTATTGAACCTGTGGCTTTCTCACTGAGCCACATCCTTAGTCTATTTTCTCATTTTTATTTTATTTTATTTTTTTTGGTACCAGGAATCAAACTGAGGGCCTCATGCTTGCTGGACGCAGGTGCCATTTTAAAATCTGGAGTTAAAGAATCACAAGTCTGGGCTCCCACACACACTTCTCCTGCCTCAGTGTCCTAGGTGTGGGGTTACAGTTGGAAATGGGGTTTCCAGTGGTCTGTCCACCAGTTACACTGTTATTACGGGTTTATTGGTCTGTCTCCCTAACTAGCACTTAAGTTCTGTAATAGCAGGATCCAGGTCTATTTTGCTTATCCTTGTGTTCTTATTGTCATGGACGGTGGGACCCAGGACAGGGTCTTAGGCTCTTGTGCATGACACAGAAAGATCTAGACATGGCACTTGACTGCAAGGGCGTAGTAGCAAAGTTTATTACAGTCATGAAACGCTCAGATTGGGTGGGCCCCACAGGAAAGGAAACTGGCACGGAGTTTAGGGGTTAAGGGGCTCAGTGGGTTTGGAGGCGCCTTCCAGAGCCTTGCTGACAGGATGTAAGTCACCACCTGTGGTGACTCAGTTGTAATTACACGCATGAGGTTCAGTCTGTACACATGAAACATGAGTGAATTCCAAGGGAAGGGAGGTTACCATGGTTCATGCAGGTCAGTCTGGAATGTGGAATTTTCCAGAACATGCTCCATGGTCTTTGTTTTTTTTTTTTTTTTTTTTTAATCTCTGCGTCCAGGAAAGAAACTTTAGGACAAAGGCTAGGTGTTGCCCAACTGAAAGTGAGTGGAGGGAAGACGAATGGGCCCTTGACCTCCAACTGCACTGCCCCTGTTATCTCTGTACTAGAACAGTCTCTGGCATGGGGGCAGCAGTTCTACAGCTATCCAGAGAATGAGTGTGCCGTGAAAGTTTTGAGCCATGGGACATATGACATAGTGTGGGAAGGCTAGAACAGTGTCTTATTTTATTTCTTTTTTTAAATTTTATTTTGAAAGTGGTAAAATACCACAGAACAAGACAGAATAAAGCCAACTAAGATTGTACAGTGAAATTGGTACAGAACTTCACAGCAGGTTACCGGGATAATAGTAATAGCTATCACTGTATATTTCGTTATCTTTACAATAGTTGTTCTTTCACTCACGTATATCAAAATGAGATGAAATACAGAACATTATAGAACTTATCAAAACAGAATATTGAATAGAGCAGTACCAATAATCAGAATAGAGCAAAACAGTAATAAAAATATTTGCCTTCAAAGAGATGGTAGAAGGAAATCCCCCTTATTTGCTATGGTCAGCCTCCCAGGAGACGCTCAGATTTCTGGTTCCCGTTTGCTAATGGGGGGACAGGAGAAGAAGGGTAGGGGAAGTGGGATGTTTGACTCCAGGCCGCGCACCAGTAGGTTTACTATTGCTTAGCAGGGAGGGGAGGTGCTTGCTTGGCTTCCCAGCGTCCTAAGTTCCAACATGGCGTGGATCTCAGGAGACACTGCTGGTTCTCCCCCTGGAAGGGCCGCAGTCTGCCACACCGCCACCGCTTCCCAGGGAGGCGAGGTGCTTGCTTGACTTCCCAGCGTCCTAAGTTCCAACATGGCGTGGATCTCAGGAGACACTGCTGGTTCTCCCCCTGGAAGGGCCGCAGTCTGCCACACTGCCACCGCTTACCAGAGAGGGGAGGTGCTTGCTTGGCTTCCCAGTTCAGTGTCTTATTTTAATCACATGACATTTCAAAGCGTTCTTCTTTGTTATAAATAAAATGCCTTCCAAGACAGGGAGCTGACACTGAGCAGAACATGTGAAGAGTTTTGCTTTGGTTCAGGCAGATGGGATGATCAGGATCCACTCTGTTGCTGAGAGTTTATCAGACAGACTAAATATAAAAACCCACTCAAAGTTATGACAATTCTGAAAGAAACCAGCTGCTAATTTGGATTTCTATACCCAGTGAAAATATCATTTGAAAATAAAGATGAATTGAAGATTTCTTCAGAAAAACAAAACTGGAGAGAGTTCATCATCACACCCTGAAGGAGCTGCGAGCGAAAAGACCTTGTTGAGTGAACCGTGACCTTGTCGTGAGCTCCGGAATAAAGGTGGGGTGAGCTGTGACAGGAGGGTGATAACTTGGCAGGGAAATTGAAAAGGTTGGTTGACTGTCTAAAACAAATACAGTAATAGTGCCCTGTGGGGTTTGACAGAGCCAGATTATTAAAATTTATGAAAGTGGCGTTTGAAGGAGGAAGGAAGGCAAAGATTTTAAAGTGTTGGACTGTCCTGGCATGATTTGAGAATGGAGCAAAAACAGGAAGTCATGGTGGACTTTGATAAGCACCTAAATTAATCATTAAAAATTATAAGTAATAAGAAGCATCAAGGTAGAGGGGAAGCAAGTGGAATATAGAATTTAAAAAATTAATTTAAAGAAGGTGAGGAGGTAGAAGAAATCTGTGAGACGAATAGTAAAAGGATGATTTAAGCTAAAACTATCAACATTTACGTTAAATGTAAACAAGTCAATCTGGTTGAGACAAAGATTGTCATATTGAATTTTAGGAAAGTTCGCTGTCTCCTAAAATTCACTTGGAAATAGAAGAGACCCAGGTTGCAGTCCTAGGCAACAAAGGCAAGGCATGAGGCATCACAATCTTTGCTTGAAATTATGCTACAAATTGACTGTGTTAAATTCAGCATGGTATTGGCAAAAACAAAACCCCAGACCTAGGGATCGGTGGAACAGATTGGAAGATGCAGACACAACTACAATGACACTCAGCCACCTCATCTTTGACAATGAGGCTAAACATGTTCACTGAAAGAAAGACAGCCTCCTTAATAAACGGTGCTGGAAAAACTGGCTTGCTATATGCCAAAGACTGAAACTAGACCCATGTCTATCACCATGTACTAAACTAAAGTCATAAATGAATCAAAGATCTAAATATTGAAACAGAAACACTAAATATACTTTAAGACGAAGTAGATAGAAATCTGGAAAACATAGGGGTAGGCAGAGTGTTTGTGAACAAAATGCAAACACATGGGAAGTACTTCAAAGAATCAATAACTGGGATCTCATTTTAGTAAAAAGTTTTTGGATATGAAAAGGAATCACCAACAGAATGAAAACTGACAGAGTGGGAAAAAGTTTTAGTCAGCTGTCTCTGAGACAAAGGACTTATGTCTAGAACATGCAAAGACTTGAAAAACATCAGGCCCCCAGAATTCAAAGACCCAATCCAAAAATGGGCATCTGAGATGAATACACACTTCTCAGATGAAGAAATACAAATGGCACGTGAATACATGAAGAAATGGTCAACATCATTGGTCATTCGAGAAATAAAGATTAAAATAACACTGAGCATTCATCTCACTCCCAAAAGAATAGCTGTCATCAAGAAATCAACCAATAACAAATGCTGGCAGGGTTGTAGGGGAAAAAGGAGCACTGCTCCACTGTTGGTGGGAGTGTAGACTGGTGTAACCGCTGTGGAAATCAGTGTGGAAATTCCTCAAAAAAGTAGGAATGGAGGTCCCCTTCAAGGCAGTGATTCCCTTTCTGGATATTTTCCCAAAAGAATTAAAAACACCATACCACAGTGACACATGTGCACCTATGTTTATAGCAGCACAATTTGTAATAGCTAAATCTTGGAAACAACCCAAACACATAAAACAGATGGCGTAAAAAAGATGTGGTATTTTTTTTACAACAGACAGTTACACGGCTATAAAGCTGTTACTCAGCTTACTCAGGCTTTTGTAGGTAAATGGATGCAATTTGAGACCATATTCATAAGTGAAATGAATTTAACTCACATGTGTAAATATTGTATTGTCTCCCTAGTGTAAAAAAATCCAAACTGAAAGGATAGCAAGCTACCAAGCATGCGATACATATTGGGAAAATGAGAGGGAAAGAAAGTGCCCAAAAGAAAAAACAACTGGGAGAGGAAAGGAGAAAAAAAAAGAAAGGAAAATATTGTATGTATATTGATATACATAGGTATGTGTATATATATGATAGATAACTATGCTGCTAATCTCTGTAAGGTCATCAAAAAGAACAGTTTGTGTTTTCATTGTTTGATTGATCACGTTTTAATGCCTAAATCTTGTAACCTAACCAACTACTCTTAAGATAACAATATGCAGTATATTGACTAGCATTAACGTCCTACTTTTTAAAAAGTTCTGTATTGTTTTTATCCTTTTCTGTGTATAAAATAAAAAAATAAAATAGGAACGTTCTCTCTCTTCTTCATCATTTATGTCAGTGTGGACTCATGTACACTTACACTTGTATTTTGGATACTTTTTCCACATGTATCATAGCTTACAACAAAAGTTAAAAATGACACAAAATCTACAAAATCTGGAATTTTATTTAATAAAAAACACCATGGAGTCAATAATAAGGCATTGTTGTCAAAAGAACAAATGAGTAATTGTTTTTTTTAAATTTTATTTTAGATAGAATACAACAAAGTAAAATAAAACAGAATAAAGCCAATCCAAACAAGGCAATGCAAGTGACACAGGATTTCCAAACAAGGTAATAGGAAATCAACAATGGCTACCATAATGCCTCCCGTTCTCTTCAAAATAGCTGCCTGTACCTTCAGACACAGTAAAATCAAACAAAATAGAACAGAATAGAACCAATAAAAACAAAACAATGAATGCAATACAGGACTTCCAAACAAGACAGTAGTAAGTAGAAGATGGCTACCATGATCTATCTTGTTATCTTTGAAATAGCTGCCCATGCCATCAGATACGGAAAAAGCACGCAAGATAAAGCAGAATAAAACTCAACCAAACAAAACAATGAGAACGATACAGGATTTTGAAGCAAGGTAATAGGGAATTAACAATGGACACCATCTTCAGAAGGAGAGCCCGTATATGCTACACTGAGTATTGTTATCAATACTGAATAGATGATCAGACTACTGGCTTTAGACCTGCAGAGTCAGAGAAACACAAACACTACAAGCATTCAGTTGTATTTTACATTATTAGCTATCATCATGGCCTGTGTTTCTCCAGATCAGCCGATCACTTATGGGAAGGTGGGACGTGTGGGCTCTTCTAGTCTCTCTGCCCTCATGCCCGAAGGGGCTGGCATCTGGCTCTCCCCCAGTCAGCCCGTGCATGTTGTTGACCCACAGAGGTCTTAGCTTCTTGTTGACGTCTTGTTCTCCTCCCCCACAGTCTGCAAATAGTGTCGACTGGCAGGAGAGGGCTGGTGTCGGCTCTCCCCTAGTCAGGCTGTGCATGGCACCCAAAAATGCGTTTTTGGAAAGATGAAGAAAATACGGCTTCAGGGATGGAGAGGGGACACTCTTATTCTAATCTGTGCTGATTGTACTGTGCTAAAAATATTTTGTTCTCTCTGGGCCCAAATTTTCTGGGAGATGAGAGGAACTGGATGCCATTCCCAGAAGGTCCGTAGTCCTATGGAATTGAATAGCACAGTAAGTGAGGGCCAGTCTACTTGGAGTTTTGACACCTTTTACATTACAATATTTCAGTGATTGAAAAGAAGACTTCATCCAGCTCTAACTTCTGGTTGTCTTCTCCTGTTCTTTCTTTCCCCTCACTATGTGAAGCGGAAATCAGTAATATAATATTTATATTTTGCAATTAAACACTTTAAAATTTGCAGTTATTGCTTAAGTGCTTAAAAAGCATAGCAGAACATGTGTTAGCAGCAGGATTACCCCTTAGTCCTTGGGATTATCTGCTATGACCTTTCCAACCTGTCTATGTCTTCAATTTTGAGTTCTCTTCTTGGTGAAACATACCACCCTCTTGCTTTGCTTAACTACAATACAGTGTTCTTCAGCGACTGTAACAGCACTTTGAAAAATAAGCTCCTAACGTGATTGCTTTCAGAACTTGGCAACAGATAAAATATATTCTACTCTGCCTAAGGGACATTTGCAGCATGAAGAGCCATCAGCCCTGAGAAGCTAAGACATAATAGCAACCCGCAAATATTTGAAAGCAACAGGACACACCCTCTGTGTGACTCTGCATGGGAAGCATCTGTCCTGATGGAGAAAGTCAGTCTGATCTCGAGGTGTTGTGGCAGTAGTCAAGATGACCACTTGATGGGGATGTTACAGAGAGAATTCCCTTCTAAGCAGAAAATTACGTCTTCAACTTCTCATTGAAACTCAAGAGCCACTTATTCAGAGAAAGTATACATCTGAGCATTCTCAGCTAGGAAATCCTGTCCTTTGGTCAGACAGCCCTGGGGAGTCTTTGAAGAGAGCCCGCCCTGGCACGAGGACATAGCACAGTGACTGACGGGCATCAAAAGCAAGAGTGAGTTGATCCTTTTATCCCTTCCCTTTGGAAAATTTAGCGCAAGCTTCTGGATTAGGACATTAACTAGGCAAAGATGTCCTTGAGAAGAGGTCTGAAGTAAAACAATGCAACAGAAACAAAGGCACGATTGCACAGTGTTGGGAAAGTCTCCTCAAGCTGCAGTAGCTCTCAGGTAGATCAGGACCCTGCAGCCCCCAGCCGAAGAAATTCACGGCTTCAAAGGGGTAGCTGTAATTTTAACCCAGAAACTCTGTAATGCCATTTGCTCCTCAGCTGGTGAAAAGCCTCCCTTTCTACCTCCAATCCTTGCTTCCACGGTGGCCGCCAGAGAGACGAGGTTATCAGCTCTGCTGGTCAGATCCTGGGGCCACATTATTCCCTGCTGAATCCTGACATGGCTGGTCAGAACCGGACCCCTGGACACACTCAGTGTGGATTTTCTCCTTTCCAAATCCACTCACTCAACAAACCTTAATTAAGTATATGAATGCGCCAGGTACTAGGTTTATTCATGATACCAAACAGGTCACATTCTTGTCCTGATGAAGGTTTGCTTTCTCATCACTGAGGCACAATGCCCAGCACCTACAAATTAAAAGAGGAAAGGCATGTCTTGCCTCCGTTTGCAGTTTTCAGTCCATGGTCAGTTGGTTCCGAGGCAGGACGGTGCGGCAGTGGGCTGTGGTAGAACACAGTTTGTGGGTGGTGCTGGGAAACAGACGGGTGAAGGGAGGAGTGACCCCTCTCCCCCCACTATCACATTTAGCTGTAAACCCGTCAGCTGACTAATCCCCTGAGGAGCGTGAGCCCCTGCCATACACTCACTGCCCTGAAGCCCCACCATGACACATGAGGCTTTGGGGAGACTCTAGACACAGACCAAAACAGCAGCCTCGTCGAAGAGACAGACATTTTCCTTAAAATGAACAAATGAATTCCATATTTGTGAGGTGAGCCAAATGCAGTGAAAGCACTGGGGAGGGCATGGTGACCTGCCACAGTATGGAGGAGGAGGAAGTGACTTTTTATCTGAAGGACGACAAGCGGATGTACTGCATGGAGGGAGAGGATGGGGAGGAGCTTTCCTGCCCGGGGTAAGAGGGCGGAGGCAGTGCGCTCCCAGCAGTGAGAGAAGCATGATGGAAAATTTACAGCATTCACTTTTCAAAACAACCCGAGGGAGGACTTGTTCCTCTCCTGGTTCTCCAGGGGGGAAACTGAGGCTCGGGTAGGCAGGTAAACTTGCCAAGTGTCTCTCAGGTACTAAGTGGTGGAGCTTGCAGGACTTTAGAGCCTGGGTTATTTGTATTTTGTAAGGTACATGAAATGCTGTCATCTAGACTCGTGAACGGTACAAGGGAAGTTTCTGTCGATGGCTGGAGCCGCAGGTCTGAGCCCCAAGGGACGGGCTTCCTGCTGCGAAGCCATGCGGGCACCTCCAGGAGATGAGTCACTTAGTCTTAAGTGGTCATGCTTCTGTTGGGAGCATGCACATGAGTGTTCCGTCCAGCCTAGAGGTGGGAGCACTGCCCAAGTGCCAGCGCCCCCAGTGAAGAGGCCTAGCTAGTCCTGCACCCCATGGGCGAGCCATTTATCCACCAGAGCCAAGGACAGAATCTCCCTGGCTGATGAAGCCCAAGGTCTGCGATGGATGCCCCAACCTCACATGGCCTCAGGCAGGCCAGAAAGGAACGGAGCTTGCAGGGGAAGACAGAGTTCAAGGCTGGCCAGGGAGAGTTCCAGGTCCTCAGGCCCAAGATTCCTTGTGTGGCGCTGGCAGCATTTATCTGCCTCAGACATCCATGAGGTTCGGACAGGCACCTCATAAATGCTCTGTTGCTCCGCCTCAGCCCCACAATACAGCACGGCTCACAAGTCCTTGCTGCCACCCTGTCTCCCCTGGGTGCTGAGGTCACCTTAAGGGAGCCCTGTCTTGCTTTCCTTTGCAGCTGAGCTGGCTGAAGGCAGGGACTCTCCCAAGGCACACACACAGGATCCCTGAAGCCGGGTTCCTCCAGGATCCCCAGATCCAAGGTTCTGCCTGTCTTGTTACCCCATGTGCTCACTGGCCCTGCAACCTCCGCGCCAGTCTCTCCCTGCCGCTCCTCCTCGGCACCTCCCAATCCCAGGGCATGTTTTGTGACAATGGACAATTTGTTCTACACTACCTCCTCTTGATTTCTGTTTTTGTCCTATTGAGAAACTGCCAGGCATTAATACTGGTGAGGCTTTTCCTAGTGTTCCAGCCAGGGTGCATTGCGGCTTGGTAGCCAAAGGGACAATGGTCAAGGGAAGTGAAATTACATACCGAGACTGCTTGATTAGTAAGTGGTGCATTTAAATTCAGACCATCTGAACTCAGAGTGAATTTCTCTTGTCTCTCTGCCTGCACCACAGACCCTCTGAGCCCAGGGCCCGCTCCTTTAGGCAGTGGGCATTGTTGCTGGGGATGGCCCCTGAGCTGGGAAATCAGTGTTAGTCCGTATTTAACGCTCTAGGATGAGAATAACTTAGCCTTTTCTAGTCTGAACTTTCTTCTCTGTCAACCTAATAAGTAAAGTCTAATAACATCTGCCTCAAAGGATTTTAGAAGGTGTGAGTGAGGCAAAGGTGGGGAAGGGCTAGGCAACAAGGCACTGATTTTGATTTTGCTATCGAGAGCAGGCAGTTGAGCGGTCAAGACGGCAAAGCTCTGGGATGGTCTGTCGTGTGATCTTGGGCAAATTTAGTAATGTCTCTGTGCTTCAGGCTCCCGTCCTATACAGTTGCCCCAACAACAGAGTCCCCTTTGTAAGGATATTGTACTCAATGAGATGGAGCAGGTTGGCAGCTGAGCCCCAGCACCCAGCACGGAGCTCGGCACCAAAGTCTCTCACTAGAGAGAATGAATGAACACAACCATTAAAGCAAGTGCTGATGATGTTGGTTGGCTGATCTCAGTTCTGCTGCCACTGCTGTCATCCTGCTCTGGCTCCCAGGGTGCTTTTCATCTGCCAAGGAGTCTCTTCTAGGTGAATGTCCCCCTCCCCATGCTCAGTTGGGGAAGCGGGAGTCCTATAAACAGGCACCAGATCGGGGATGCCTTCCTCTTCTAGAAACTACCTTCCACACCATTGATTGCTTGGATTGCACACACACATACACGCACTCACACAGGCACACACACTCAAGCACACTCTCTACATAAAAAGAACTGAACAGATACACACGCTGCAGGCTCCGCAAGCTGGAAGGTTGTCAGTCTCTGCCCAGTTCCAAGTCGGTCAATTATTATCCAATTAGTCATCTCTCCAGAGGTGGAATAGTCATTAAAATAATCAAACATGCATGCTTATTTGTGGGCTGTGTGTGCAAGCGTGAGGGCGGAGGGGGGAGCAATCAAAAAGGAAATGCCCTGGTATTTATATTACAGTGCGTATGGGTTTAAATTACCCCTGGGAATATGTGCTGTATGATTATAGCTAATCCATGCTTATTCAAATGGTGCGGGGGTTGATTTCTCCTCCTCCTTGCTTGTCTCCCCATTCATATAACCCAGGCTGTCTCCAGCTATCCCATTGGACTTGCTGGCCCTGAGCACGTGAAGGTGCAGCGAGTCGTGGAGAATGAGCATGTTCTTCTCCGAGGCAGCGTGGCTCTGCCTGGCTGTCACTGCAGCCCTGGGGAGCATAGCTCTCTGCAAACACAAGAGCCCTGGGCAGCTGGGGAGCCCAGTGCTCTGGCTTGCTGGCCTCTGGGGAGGGGCTTACCTGCTCATCCTGCCCTTGTTCTGGAGCTTGGTTCTCTTCTCCCTGTCGTGTTGCTTCATGTGTATGCACTCAGCTGGTGAGGAGTTGTTACCTGTGGATCAAAAGGCAGTCCTGGTGACAGGTACGTGACGGCTCTTCTGTGTCCACAGAGGGTAGAATCTGAAATTTTCCCTGCCTGAGTGGGATGTGCTCACATTTGGCTTAAATGCAGAAACTGCTTGGCTTGGAGTAAATGAGAGCACGTATCCAAGTATTTTTCTCTGGAGTGTTTTGGTGCAGTGTCCTCAGGGGTTGCTCGGAAGGAGCTGGAGCTGAAAAAGGCAGGTGAAGGTTTGGCGTACCTAAGCAATGATTTTGGTAGTTTTCCAGGAACCAATATTAGGTAAAGCTGTGTTATTTCACGGTTTTTTTTGCACCTGGGAGTGTCCGTGGATTTCTTTAGGCATAAAAGCAATTCTGTTCTCAGGTGAATGTTTGGCGAGGTTCTAGAGCTGGTTGTCCTCCCTGGCTGTGCAAGAAAGCCTGTGCTCCAGGTCCCGTGCACCGTGCCTTGTCTCTGGGGACTCACCTGTACTGGGGGTGCTATAGTTTGCCTGGCTGCCGTTAAGAATCTTGTGCCCTGTCTGAACTTTTCCTCTTCAAGTATATCATTTGACCGCTAATTCTTCTTAATTAGACGAGGTTGGCACTGTGTCCAGAAATATAGCTGCTCATTAGCAGAGCTGCCAGCTTTCCCCTTTTGTTTGGTGTTTTATTCCCCTGCAAGTGTGAGATCAAATTAAATTCCTGTGAGTTGTAAAACTGGTTCGTTTGGTCATGAAATTTGAACTCAGATAGGGCTTTAATTAGGATTATTGGGAATTCTCCTAACCCAGAAAACTCTGGAAGATAAGGGAGAGCATCAGTTGTCGATGATCCCTTGCTGGGAGGTTGTCACTCAGACTCTGACCCGCTGGGTGTATTGGAGGAAGGCCAGCGGTTTTGACAACTCACTGGGAGACAGGTTCTCAGGACTTTTCCTATTTCCCCTTTTCCTTTAACCTAATAACAAAATGATTTCTTAAAATGAAATGCAAGCTGGTGCTTGTTGAGCTTTAAAGTGCTGTGGAAGTTGAACTTCTTTAAATTAAAAAGAAATCAACGGAGACAATCAGTCAATCAACATAATGCGCATGGGAATGTCAGGTGAGACTGAGTCCAGCATCTAGGAGACCGCTGGGTCTTCCCCTTGTCAGTGGGATTCAGAGAGGGCCAGCGGGCTGGGCTGAGCCGAAACAATGGCTCTGTGTACACAAAGTAGGGAGCAGCCAAGGACCTGGTGATTTTTTTCAAGTTAGACCTCCTTTTTGTAATTTTCCAGCTGCCTCAAAGAAGGCAGAACAATTAAGCACAGTAAACAAACAAAGGGAAAAAAGTGATACCATTTTTGACACTTATGGGATCCCCTGGAGGGCTGAATATTCCTGGGGAGTTAGAATCTGGGTACACTACGGCAATTAGGGAGAATACACAGTCTCAGGGCCAAGGTCAACCTCAGGGTAACCGAGAAAAGAGGAATCCTCTTAACCGTGTTTATCTGTCAACTTTTGTTATCCGTTGCATTTACAGATGAGGGCGCATATTAATGCTGACAACCTACACAGGCATCTTAACAAGCCCGTGACAGCCTTTGAAATTTTTGGCTGTGTTTAATGTCCGGTAAGATAACTAAATCCATCAGACAACCCAAGCCCCATGACTAATCCCTCGATGGAATGCTGAGCGATTAGGAAATTTAGAATTGAGAAGAGAGCATACATTTGAGATGACTGAAATGTCATGTTCCAGTTCTTTGCCGTTTCGATGTAGGCTTTGTGTCATTCTACAGAAGGTTGGAGACCTTTGTGCTGAATGAAGAAATTAAAAATGAATTCCATTATGTAGACCAAGACTGGTTTTACAAAGTAAGAAGCCACCGAGTTAGGAATAGCCTTCATTTCAAGTCGGCTCAGTTGTGAACTGGGATGCATTTTGGTGGGTATTAGGTATGAACAGAGTGTAACAGCACATACCTAAGGTAGTGATGTTATGTCTTTATCAGACAACTCACTGCTTGAGAATTCCCTTAAAGGTAAAATACGGGTCCTGGGGATGAGGCTCAGTGTTTAGAGCACTTGCTTAGCATGCATGAGGCCCTAGCGCCCAACCAGCACTGCAAACAAAACACCCTGAAATATATACAACTAATACATGCAACATAAACTAGCACCAGAAGGAGCCTTTCGACTCGGAGGTTATAGAAATGAGGATTGGGTCTTTGGCTAAAGGGAGTCGGCATTGATTGAGAGAGTGGCCGAACTGTTGGCACAGCAAAGACACCAGCAAGTTTCTGTTGATTTCCCGGGGTGGGCTAAGGTTAGGTAATTTTCCACGGGTCACAAAGGTAGCTAACCTTGTGTCAGGTTGTTTTGAGTTACCCTTATATCTGTCACCATCATCTTGGGCAAACATTCTGGCCTGGAGGTGCTGTCCAGGCCCTAGGATGGGGCTGAAGGACTTTAGGTACTTGGACATTACAGCTACTAAAGAGGCACAAGGGTGGGAGCAGGAAAGAAGGAGAGATCAGCTCCGACAGGCGAGAGGACACGTTCAGATTATGTATTACAATCTTTGATGAAACATTTTTAAAGCTATCAGTACATCTGTGTATAGAGCTGTGTGTATATTCTGACCCAAAGGTTAAAACAGCAAAGGGTACGGCAGAAATAAACACAAAGTCAGGCAGGTTTGGGCCCGAATCCTGCATCTATGTTACCTTAACTGGGGTGCCCAGAAGCAGGATGTGGAAGTGATCTTTCCAAGGGAGATGGACGGACAAGCGGAGGAGGCCAAGCAGGGGCCTCCGCGGGAGTCTTCTGAGGTCACTTCGGTGTAATCACCTTGGGCACATGCGACGGCCACATCTGGGTCACGTGCCAGGGCTGCCCCTTGGGAGACGGGAGAGCTGCAGACTGGCGCCATCCAGTTGATCAAAGGCACCCATCCCTTGCCCTTTCCCCCTGGAGGCTTAGGCTCAGGCATTGCTGGCTCTAGGGGGTCACATGCAGTGGCCTAGCATCTTGGGGCAGCCCTGGGGGCAGAAAGGGATAGGTGCTGCCTCCCGGAGCAAAAGCATACCATGGGTTAATCCACGTACAACAAATAAATGGCCAAGGGATCCCAGGAGCCTGCTGCCAAGTATCTGTTACTAGCTGGGTGGTCTCTGGTCAAACAGATGGAGAGAAGGAACATGCACTTATTCATTCAATATTTACCGAGAGCACAGTATGTGCCATTTTTTTTTCCAGAAGCCATGGTGGAAGGAAATTTAAAATGCCATGCAATTATTGTCAGATGACAGGATGCAAATTCCTATTTTTCTTTGACCTTGAACCCGCATTTCACTCGGCTTCTCCCCTGCTCATCTGAGGCTGTGCGCTGTTTGTCTTGGCTCCTCTCTGAGCTGCTAGGAGATGCAGAGGCAATTTTACTCGTGGCCTCTCCTCCTGGCTGGTCCTGTCTTTTCCAGTCACTTCCAGTGTTTTAGCGACGGATTCATCACCCTGTGAAGCTGCGGGTTGCATAGCCCACTGGGCCAGGCATTGGCCACCTAACTGGCTGTGGAACGGCGCACAACAGGCGCCTCCAGGATTCCCAAAGTGCTGTGAAGCCTGGGGCGGGGACCTCTTGTGTGAGGGGCTGGGGAAGTTTGGCAAAGGAAGGGCCTCCTTAAGGATCAAGGTAGTTTTCTAGAAGGAAAACGGGAAAGTATTCCAGGCTGATTGGTAACGAGGATGCATAGAGCTAGCGCTCAAAAAAGAATGTGCTTTACATAATTTTCTAACTTAAGACAGGATACACGAGCTCAGGAGGGGAAGTGTTTTAAGCGAAGGTCTTTAATTTATGCTCTAAATACAGAGTCAGGGTGGTAGTGGTGACTCCTTTTGGGAGGTATTAAATAGTCTAAGAGTCTAACATTGGACACCACTGGTGTCCTCTTGGAGTTGGGCTTCTTTAGATCGAATATGGCATCACTAAAGGGAGGCACATTGACGAAGACTGAGAAGCTCTCTGTGCTCAGCACGTCTCACGTATTTTACATCAGATTCCCCCACTACTAATGGCTTTCATTTCGTGAACAAGGAAACCATGTCCACAGTCTCTGACTTGCTTGGCAGATGCGGGGTTAAACTCAAATCAGATCTGCCTGCCTCTGAAAGCCACCGTGTCGGCCACCAGCATTAGCAGCATTGCAGCCATAGTTAGTTTTAGACCACAATGATTACCAGGGCAGAGAACACCTCCAGTCAATCAGCGAGTGGACAGCGAACATCCCGGACGTGTGCGCCAGGCCTGATATGGACCTGGAGGAGCCATGCACAGCGGGAGCAGGCAACGCAGCTCCTGTGGACAAGGGTAGCAGTGCAGGAGGGCTGAGGGTTTGCCAGGCATCCGATGGAAAGTTTAACTTCAGAGCTTCAGAACTCCACGTTTGGGTGCAGTGAAGCCTGGTTCACATGGAAAGCATTGGAGAGGGAGCCACAGAAGTAGTTGGTTGAGCTTGGAGATAGAAACTGGAAGAGCAAGCTACAGCTTGGGATGGAGGAGGGGAATGCCTAGCTAAAAAGAATTTGGATGTGCTATGTGTGAGTGCCAGCTGCTCACGATAAATGTAATCGTTAACTGCCACAAACATATATTAATAAAAGAGAACTAATGGAGCCCATATTTGGGAGTCTTCAGGGACTCTATTGTCCAGTCTATATTACTATTATTGTTATAATTATTATTATTATGATTATTGCTTTGGTTGTTTTGGGGACTTGAGTCCAGGATTGTGTATATTCTAGACACGTGCTGTACCATTAAATAATATTCTCAGCCCTGTCCTACTATGGATCGCCTGTCTCTGTCTCTCCGTCTCTCTCTCTCTCTGTCTCTGGATTACACACTTCTGGTGGTCAATCCAAGGGTCTCATGCATGCTAGGCAAGAGCTGTACCACTGAGCTACACCCCCCTGCCCTTCTTTATCATGTGGCTTATGTTTTGCATTAACTCTTCGTGGGCAAATAACTTCATCGAAGTCTGAATGGTGTTTTATTTGGCACAGCGGAGGAAGGTGGTGAC